AAAAAGAACCAGACGATCTTCCCTTCGAGCTTTCAGCAAAAAGCAAGCAGCCCTTTCTTCCCACTGCTGTTCTGAAGGTGGGGCGTGGTGGGTTCTTAACTCTTCAGCACAAGGAAGCTCATCCCCAAGATTCTCATCGTTGCCACGCGAGATGGTCTGCGTGAATGCACCGTTGCTGCTCTATGGCCCCATGGGTCTCATAACACAAGAGACAAAGGTCCAATTCTGTGCACGCAGAGGCTGATGAAAGGGAAGATATTTCACCTGCTGCTAGTAACAACCTGTTGTATGCTGAGAGCCGTATTTATTCTTTAAATTTTTTCATTTATTTGTATTAAACGCCCACATATGTTTAGCACATACAGATACACAAAACAATTTAAAAATCACACTGAATCCCACCGTCCTGAGGTAAACACTATGAGCACTTGGGTCTCAGGTTTCTCCAGAGTCTGTGAATCTAATCACGAAAACAGTCGCACCCCCCACCCCCCTGCGGCCGCCAGGGTCGCAGGCACTGGGCAGTTTACTCCCCCACCAGACCTCCCCCCACCCTGGACGGTAGGCACTACTGTTCTCAGCCCTTTACAGATGAAGGAACGGAGACTCGAGAAGGTAGGATGTCTCCCAGAGTAGCAGACAGAACGGATGCCGCGGTCCCTTTGACTCGGCTATACGGACACGGTATTTTGTTGACTGTCATTGCTTTGGTTTGTGCTTGTCATTGCGTTACAAAAAGTAAAAATGCTTTACACGGGTTGGGTTTTTGTTGTTGTTCTGTTATTCGCTCTTTTTCACTTTTACTTAATAATCGCGGTAGGCACAGTGCTAACATGGCCCCAAGATTTCCAGCCTCCTGATGCGTGTCACCTTCCAGTTACTCAATCAAACGCCCAACCAGGTGGTGGGGTGAGGAGAATTTGTAGGTTAAGTTCCCAATCAGTCGCCCTTAAAATGGGGAGATTATGCGGGGCGAGTCTCATCCAGTAACTGTCCCTTTAAAGGTGCTGGGCATTTCCTGATGTCAACAAGGCTCTGGTGGGAGAGGGACGCGAGGTCGGGGAGATTCTCTGCTGCTGCCCTTGGGGCCCACGGCGGCCACGAGCACGGAGCAGAGGCAGGCCCTTGGGGCGGAGGCCACCCCCACGCGCCCACCTGACAGCTGGCAGGAAACTAGCACCTTTACCGCCCGCCTCAAAGCGCTAGATCCTGCCACGGCCACGGGAACCAGAAAGAGCTCCAGATGAGACCTCACTTCTGCTGTGCGAGACCCTGAGCTGAGAACCAGTCAGCCACGCCCAGGCTCCTGACTTGCACAAGCGTGGGCTGGTGGTGCTGACGTCGCTACAGTTGTGGTGATTTGTTTAGTAACGAGAGAAAACAAATACAGTGTGTCCTAAATGGTTTCCACCTCAGAACCCTGTATCCTTTGAGGAAGGACAGCATCCCAGTGTCCCCATGCGCTACAATCAATGCCTTCCTCCTGTACATCTTTGCTGCTCCCAATCCTGCTAATCTGGGCAACATTGCGACGAACGTTTTATAGCTAAGTCTCTGTGCATTCTAAATTCCTGGAAATGGCACTACGCACGGAGTGTCGGCGAATGTGGTTTTGAAATGAACACCCACTGCCCTCTAGAAACATTGCACCAAACGTATCTCCCCATTGGCCATTTATGGGCACACACACTTCACTTCCCCCAAACTGCCTTTCAGTTCAAGTGACGTGTCCCGTCTTTCTGTGTTTTTAAATTATTAGTGTTAACTTTTTTTTCCCCTTTGAAGGGCATTTTTTAAAAAAATGTGTGTGCATGTGTGTAATGTGTATGCGTGTGTAATGTGTGCATGTGCAATGCTTGTGTAAGCCTGTGTAACGTATATGTGCGTGTGTAAGGTGCATGCATGCATGTGTAATATGTGTGTGCATGTAATGTGTGTGCACGTGGGTGTAAATTGTGTGCATGCATGTGTGCCTATTGCTTGTATTATTAGCTGGAACTTTTCCATTGCAAGGGACAAAAGTCACACTTGCTTAATCAGAAAGAGAAATTATGGGCTCACAATTGATTGTCCAGGAAAAAACCTACTTTAAGCGATGGGCAGAACCTACACCCAGAAATGTCTTTCACGGCTTAGCCCTGATTAGAGCAACTTGGGTCACTATCCCATCTTTGAGCCAATCACGTAGCTTAGGTCACATGACCACACCGCGCCCAGGGGAGGCCAGTCCTGCCTGCACCACAGGGGGCACAGGTTAACCCAAGAAAGAAGGTGCTGTCCTCAGAATAGATGCTAAGCAGGGCCACGGGGCAGCCCGTCCTCCAGAATGCCCAGACACTCACTTTGCGCGTTTTATTTACTGGATGTTTACCCAATACATCCCATAAGACTCCCAAGAACTGGTAAAATGAAGACACTAAGTTTGTCATACGTATTTCAAGTACTTTTTAAGTTTGTTTGCTGTCAACAGCAATTACCCTCTTTTGCGCAAGGAAGTTTGAAGTCTTTATGTAGTCAGATACTTAACAGTCTTCTGTTATGGCCTGTGGCTTTACTGTTGGGCTTAGGAAAACATTCTCTGCCCTAAGAGCTTCCGTTTGCCAACATTTTTAACTAATGCTTTTTCTTTTATTTCTCCATGACAATATTTTAACCATCTGGAATTGATGCTGGTTCGGAGTGTGAAAACTGTTTTTCCCACATGTAATAGTTGGTTATTCCGACAGAATTCATTGAGTACTCCGTGCTTTTCTCCATGGGTTGGAAATGCCTTTATTACCATTTGCTGAATTATTTTATGCATGTGTTTTGATGGTCTTTCCCGCGTGTTCCTCTTCACTGACCTTTTCTGTGAGGCCTAATCTAAAAACCAAATAAATACACTTGGAGGTACCGATTACCTCTTTTATGACTGCAATGGGGATTAAGACACTCGTGAGGAGTTACAGAGTGGTGGTTATGACAGGGCGGTTAGGTGTGGTCCCACACCTGGCACGTCTTCAAAAGGGACGAAGGGGAAGTTCCTGATCTTTCACTTTCCCCCTCTCTCCTACCTTCCCTCTCTGCTGGTGAATGCCTGGCTGTTGCAGATGGCCCGGGGTTTTTTAAAGCACATGAGGACATAACCCCAAGAAGCAGAGCTCGTTACGCACAAGGGTCAGGTAAAACGACTGGTTAAAAAAAGGCAAAGCCAACAAACCTGACTTCCTGGCCATGCACTCTCACCTCCCTGGTAAAAAGAAAACACACGTCATTCCGAGAGCTGAATTAATTCATGCAGCGCAGGCAGGTGAGTTTGGCTTTGTTGTGGGCCAAAGAATGGAAGGCCTGACTCTACTCCGGGGGTTGACTGTGCCTCTACTGCTTATCTTTTCTGCTTCTGCCTAGATTCTCTGCGGCCAGACCGAACCGTTACAACAGGGACTCCCTGAAATAAACAGATCTTATGACAAGTCTGTCCCCGAGGAGAGTCCAAAGATGGACAGGATGGCCTGACTGTAACGTTGCTAACGCCTCCCACCACGGTCTGGTGCACAGAGACCAGCAGGGCCGGTCGTGGTCCCCAGGATGGAACCGGGGAGCAGAAAAGCAGAAGCATGGGCCGCAAGCGCTGACACCGAGCCGTCGCACCTTGCGGACTACGGTTGACTGGTGACGACGGATGGCACAGAACATCCGTGATGGCTAGCTGTGAACCGGCGTTTTGAGGAAGCTGAAACTGTGAGTAAACAGGTACGACTGTCTGGAAGCAAGGGGCGAGCCACGCAGAGATGAAATGAGCCGCAGAAATATTATGAAAAGGTCAGAGAGGTTCGACCGCCCCTGAAATGTGCTCAGTGTCTGATGGCTTCTGAATTCACTCCATCAGATCGCACCTCCTCCCAGGGGACAGGGCAGTGCTGGAGCAGGGAAGGGTCCCGTGTCTGACAGCCAGTGGTGCACCCCAGTCCGCACCCCCAGCACCCTTGCAGTTACGGCTTGCTTTCCCACAGGGCCCTTGAGGCGAAGAGGCTGTGACAAAGCTGTACTGTGTAAAATGACGGACGCCATACTTATCCCCCAGACACCAGCTGTGCGACTCAGGTCGTTTACTCATTTACTTTCGGTTCAAAGGAGAGACTCACACAGTCACTTCCAGGAACAGGCACGTATTACGAGTCTACTCCACACAGTGGTGAGCCGTCAGCTTGTATCAATTATTTAGTGTTACGATCACTGGGGCTTAGCACAGGGGCTCCGAACGAACGCATGGGCTGCAGGGGCCAGGCAGGAGCTCAAAGCACAAACTGGCCCAATGTGAGACAACAATCAGACTGCCCTCTCCTTTTATGTTTTTAAAATTTTTTTTTAACGTTTATTTATTTTTGAGACAGAGACAGACCATGAACGGGGGAGGGTCAGAGAGAGGGAGACACAGAATCTGAAACAGGCTCCAGGCTCTGAGCTGTCAGCACAGAACCCGACGCAGGGCTCGAACTCACGGACCATGAGATCACAACCTGAGCCGAAGTCGGACGCTTAACCGACTGAGCCACTCAGGCTGCCCCTCTCCTTTTATGTTCTTACTTTTTAACAGAATCATGACGGGTGGGCCTTGGCTCCAAGTAACAGAACACCCAGCACGTGGCCTAAACCGTGTACGATTTGTGATCTTTCACTACCTAACTTGTCCCTGATTCTCTACCGTGCTGTCCACATCCCCAGCTGGTTCGTCTCGGGAGTGTGAGACAGCTGCCAGCAGCAATGAGGGCCTCAGGCTTCCTAATCCATATCCCCCTTGGAAGAGTGTCTCTCTCGCAGGCCTGGTACAAGAGTCCTTTCTTTCTTTCAGCCTGACCGGGCCAATTTACGTCATTTGTCCTCTGCTGGGCCCTGGGGGAACGTCGCGTCTCGACGGGGTAGAGTCTGGGTTTCAGAAGAGGCATGACAGACTAGCATTGGTTTTGACTAGTCGGATCCAGAAACAAAGATGAAGTTAGCCTCTCCTGAGCGACACGGTTAGCTGGTGGGGAGCGGGCTGGGGGAGGACAAACGGAGAACAGACAGCCGAGCGGAATCAGGATTCTGTTTGCAGGACAGGCGGGTGGGCGTGTTGGACAGGCAGTAACCGGTCGTGCCCGCTGCACATCCGTATAGGGCGGCACTGACCGACAGAACTTTCTGCAGTGGTGGGGTAATCCACACCATTCTGCTCACCACGGAAGCATCAAACACACGAGGCCGTTGGGCGCTTGAAGTGTGGCGGCTGTGATCGGAGAAGCTGCCAGAACTTCCTAAGGTTTAGGCCCAGACCCGGCCCAGGGACGCTCCGCCGTTCTCTTCACCGAAGCAAGTCACGGGGCCGGGGCTGCGCGTGAAGAATCACTGCAAACAAACCGGAACGCTTCTTCCAGTTGGACTGTTTTGCAACCTCAAGATGTCAGAGACTGCAGTGCAGACCAGACCTCCCCAGGACCAGGAAGTGCCACACTTCCTCAGTGTACATCCTGAACTCCAACTCCTGCCCCCACTTTGTTCACTTAGCTTTACACTTCTCAGTGGAGATCATCCAGTTGGGTTAGTCTGCTGTCATCCAAAATGGCACATCTGCATCGGGCGGAGTTTCACGAGAACTCATCTCATGAACCGCGTCAAATGGCTTAATTTTTATCCCATGTTTACCCTGCACTTTGCCCGAGAGTGGCGATTGTATCAGTCTCTTGAACAAATACTTGAAGGTTCTGTCTCACGTACCAGCCAGAGGACGGAAGAAGCACTGCACTGTACTAGGAATTAGGTAAAAGCCTCGTATGTAAGACTGAGCTCCACCGGGGCGTCTGGAGGGCTCAGCTGGTTGGGAGCCCGACTCTTGATTTCAGCTCAGGTCATGATCTCATGGTTTGTGGGCTCAAGCCCCGTGTCTGGCTCCACACTCTTAGTGCTTGGGATTCTCTCCCTCCCTCTCTCTTGCCCCTCCCGTGCTCTGTCTCAAAACAAATGAATAAACTTAAAAAAAAATAAATAAGACTGAGCTCTACTGTCTACTACGTGTGTGATCCTGGAGAGGAATCTTAAGTGGTTTGCCTTTTAGTTAAATTTGGAAACTAACATGCTGTGGAAATCACAGGGGTCTCAAAAAAGCAAACAAAAAACACCAAGAAAACAATGAATATAAAATATTATTTGGGCACCATTTAAACTTCAAACATCCATTCAATCACCCAATTCCATACATAGTTATCGTGGTGGGGGTTGTGGTAGATTCTAGAAATACAGTAACGGACAAACAAAATCACAGCCCTCCCTGGTTTGAAGACTGACATTAAATCGTTTTGCAAAATATGTAATCGTAAATTAAAAGAGTATTGTGAAAACAACACGCAGCGAGTACTCTAAAGACGTATGAAAAGGGATGCGACCTATTCTGGGAGGACCAGGAATGTGACAATGATTGAGGACAATCAGCATTAATGGATTGGATGGGAAGGTCCTATACTGTCTTTCAATGATTCTCTCTTTAAAGGGTAGTAAATATTTATCTCCTGCCTGCTGTGCCAGCACCAGCACTGTGTGAGGTATTTCTCAGCGAGATGACCTACCGGAAAGCCCACTCCCCAGGTAACGGCTCCATCCTTCTCTTGGCTGGCCTCAAAGAGGGAGGAAGGAAGAGGCAACGGTCTCACACGAACGGCCATCATCCACCTGTGGGTCCCAATATCTCAAGCCATGCCGGGGCCGTTTCTGGAGGACGCTCTTCCCCTCCACCATATGCCAGTGGTCACTATTGCAGGTGCTGTGGGCGTGGTGAAGAATAGGACACATGAGATCCTGCCACCATGGAACTTATACTTGTGGGGACCAGTACAAGCCAGGGAGGACAAAGAAATACAGGAAAAAAAACATGACAGGTGCTATGCAGAAACTAAAACAAGGCAATGGGATGGGGTGGGATGCACTTCAGATGGGATGGTGGAGAAATGCTTGCAAGGATGGACGCTTGAGCTGAGTGTTGAGGGAAAACGGGATGCCAGCCAACAGACAAGGAAGCAAACTCGGCGCCTGACTTGTCCTGGGGTAGCGGCTCTTCATGGGGAGATGTTTCCTGGGGGCCATCTGGGGACCGTCTGCACACAGGGTGCTTGCCACTCTGGGGGACGGGGGTGGAACCGGCCCCCGAAGGACAGCAGAGGCTAGGGGTGCCGCTCACCGACCTACCGTGCAGAGGCGGCCCCAATCGTCAGCGCTGCACCTGCACGGGAAGCCCGTGCCGGGGCAGGAAAGAGCCCGCAGGCAGGCGCCAGCTTTGCAAATCAGCCTGGAAGACCGGCAGAACCCGGAGCCGCCATATGGGGGTGTGTCTACGCTTTCGTAGGCGGAGGTCGGAGACCTCGGAGTGACAGGAACAATTCCGCTTTTAAAACCCCGTAGATGGCAACGCCCTGGGCCCGGGGCTCCACTCCCGGCAGAAGCTGACCCACTGCCCGGCCGGGCTTCCGGGCGGAACCGGAAGTCGCCAGCGGCGGCCAATGGGGGCGCCGAGGGGCGGGTCTCGCGAGAAGCCAGGTAGCGGCAGCGACCAATGGGGGCTCCGGGGGGGCGGGCCGAGGCGCGGCTGGGTGGGTCTCGCGAGAAGGGCGGCGGCGGCGGCTGCACGGCGGCTGCTGCGCGTTTGCCGGGACGCGGGGCGGCGAGCGCATGGAGGGCTCGGGCGGGGAGCGGGCGCCGCTGCTGGGCGCGCGACGGGAGGCGTTCGAGGGCCGGCGCGCGGCGTGC